AAAGGGAAAAAAGGTAATGGCAAGTACGGGTCAGCAGCAGCCTTTTGGACCCCTTAAAAAAAGTACCTCTGAGCTTCCTGGCAGCCAAGGAAAAAAAGGGAAACATGACCTCACAACACAGTTCGGTGGTCACCTTCATGGGCTCACATTATTTTAACTAAATGGTTCACAACAGGGGTGATTTTGCCCCACCCACCAGAGCATGCGGCAATGTCTGGAGACATTTTCGGTTGTCACCCCCGGAGGATGCTACCATGTGTCCCATAACACCCCAGATGGCCTCCGCCACGGAGGACGAGTCAGCCCCAAATGTCAAACAATGCCGAGGGCAGGAAGCACTAGAATAACCATTTGTTGGGTTTGCTATGGCCAGGTCACAAGAGCATCAGGCTGAGTTCGCCCACCCCCCACACCCGGCCTCTTTGGGCTGCCTACCTGGAACTGGGCGCTGATACTAGGCGGCTTCTTTTTCTTGTGGAGGTGCAGCAGGGACTTGGTGGTGCGATCGTGAAGAGTCATGCTGATGATGAGCTTCAGGGACTTGGAGTCCAGCAGGTTCTAGGACAGACACATGGGGTCTGGCCTGCCCTCCTGGGGGGCCCAATGGGCACCGGGAGGCATCATAGAGGCCCTGGAGCCAGAACTATGCTCCCGGGGGTGGCAGCTCTTAGGATCAGTCTTGGGACAGTGCTGCTGGAGGGCAGGGGGTGGTGGGCTTGGCAGGAGGCAGGGGCGGCCCCGGGGCTGAGTCTGCGCTGCGCCTCGCACATGGCACCAGCTCCAGGAGGACTGATTACGGCCTCTTTTGCAGCCCGATGGGCCGGAAGCCGAGAGCTCCAGAGGGCCACCTTCCTCCTGGACATGACTTCTCCAGGGGTGCCAAGCCCCTGGCACCTCCGCATGAGCTTCTCCAGAGGATTCCCCCCACGTTTGCCAACCCTTAGTATCAGCTCACAATAGGAACTAGCGCTGTCCTGTCTCTTGGCCAGACTGGGAGGTTTTTCTCCCTTTTGCACATTTCATAATCCGTTTGCACACTCCATGTGGAGACTAGACAGAGGCTGGGTGCACTTTACCGGAGGCCAGCTACTGGGGTCTCGGCTATTGACCACGCACGGTTGCCCCCTTCCTGGTGGGACTTCCCTGGCTGAAGGGCCTCCTCTCCCAGAAATGCCTGGGAGGTGCTGCATCCTGTTCTGCCCTCCGGAGGTGGCTGGTAGCTAAAGATCCCCAAAGTGGGGGGAGGACAGAAGGGTCCCATTGCCTCTGGGCGGGAAAAGCTCTTTGGTGCGGATCACACTCCGAGGCTCCCGTGGGAACAGGCCGAGTCCACCTCCTTGCTCAGTCCTCCCCCTGCCCCGGCCTGCTTTCCCACCTCTTCTTAGGTTCCTCCTGGGAGCTCCTGTCAACATGCTTGTGCAAATAACCCCATCACATGCCCGGCTTCTGGGACACCCCAAGACTGCTCCAAATCATTTCCATCAGGGAAATTATTTTTGGAGGGGGGTGGGGGGCAGGGGGCGATGGCGGGAAGAGGAAAGAACTAAAAAGCTAGAGATGTTAAAAGTACCTCCCTTCCCCCACCCCACCCCCTATTTTCCAGAAAGGGAGTTGAGTCAGGCGCTCTCAAGACAGGCAAAAAGCAAGGTGGCCTTGGGCCGTGTCGCAAATGTTTACCTTTGGAATGAGCTGCTTTTGTTTGATACCTTTACTTTTCCTGTCAAAATATTAAAAATGGTTTTGTGAACAGAAGGAACACAGTGTCTGGATCCGGGTTAGTTGAGCAAGCCGCGCCTCGCGGGTTAGAAGGAGCGAGAGCAGAGAAAGCAGAGTCAGGGCCCACAAGTGCAACGAGGCCGCTGCGCCGCCTCTCCGAGGCCCTGGTGGGCCCACCCGGTGCATGCGTGGGGCGCTTCTGCGACTGCGCAGGAGCTTCACTGCGCCAGCAGCCGCCCCCGAGGGGGCAGGTGCATCTGGCTTGGGGCTGCGGGTCATCGGCCGGGCAGAACGTGCGTCTGTGTGGGGCCAGCCACAGCGGAGCTGACAGGTCTCAGAAAATGACAGTGGACTGCCTCTCGTGGAGCTCGGGGGGACCCAGCACCATTCTGGCGCCTACCAGGTGTCTTGGCTCTATTCTCTACACGTTGGGAAATGTCAAGCAGGCCCATAGAGCCGCTTCAGGACCCCCTGGCAGGCCGCGGGGGGCTCTGCCCACACTGGGGCCAAGGAAAAGACAAAGCCGATCTTTTGGGCAAGGGAGAGGGGTATGGTCCTCATTCTGACACTTTATGGAATCTTGCAGACAAACAAAAATTTTTTTAAGCTTGCAGCTTGGGGGCGCCCGGGTGGCACAGTCAGTTAATTGGTTGCCTTTGGCTCAGGTCATGATCCCAGGGTCCTGGGATCGAGCCCCATGTCAGGATCCCTGCTCAGCGGGGAGTCTGCTTCTCCCTCTCCCTCTGCTGCTCCCCCCTGCTTGTGCTCTCTCTGTCAAATAAATAAATAAAATCTTAAAAAAAACCAAACTTGCAGCTTGGCTCATTTTTAAAACCAGCTGAAGAAAGGCACCTGGGTGGCTCAACCTGTTAAGTGACCAACCCTTGGTTTCGGCTCAGGTCATGATCTCATGGGCTGTGAAATCAAGCCCCATGTCGGGCTCCGCACTCAGCGGTGAGTCTGCTTGGATTCTCTTCCTCTACCCCTCTCGTGTTTTCTCTTAAATAAATAAATAAAATCTTGAAAAAAAAACAAAACAGCTGAGGAAATGGTGTCCCACAAATCAGCAAGATGCTTGGTTGTGAGGTTCTATGTGTATCATGTTCCATCTTAATCCACATGAGATAGAATAAGGCATAATAAAAATCAATTTGAAAACTGCTTCTCTTGTGGGCACAAGCTCTGAGTGGCGCCCCATCGGCTGAGGCTGCTACCTGCCTGGTGCTACATGCAAGTCATCACTCTTGCTTTGCAGACAGAGGCCGAAAGCTCAGAGCACCTCAGGCCACGTGGCAAGTGAGTGAGAGCGAGACCAGGTCCAAACCCGGTGTGTATGGCTTCTGGGCCCTCCCGCCCACATTCGCACTGTCCTCCAAACAAAGCAGGGCTGTGGATGTGTGTGAAATCAGACACCCTCCTTCCTACAGCTTCTTTATAAGCTCATAGGGGCAAGGGGCAAGGGGCGGGGGAAAGCAAGCCTTGCTCTGCATGTTTGGGGACGGAAAAAGAGATGCTTTGTGGGAGGAGCGTTCCTGCGAAGCTGCGCGGGGCACTGGGGAGCTGGCAGGGATTTGGGTCATGGGGCAGACGCTAGGGCAGGAGTGTTATGAGGACCAGTTAGCAGAGGCTGGTGTAAGAATGGAACCACAAGACAGCACGTTTGCAGCGGCCAATTCAGCATGACGGGAAGCCCGCAGGCCGGGGTCCTGGGAGCCAGGGGGGCGGGGGGGGGGCAGGCGGTCGTTGCACTTGTTGCGGGGAGGGGGTGGGGAGGCGCCACAGCCTTGGGGGGACTCACGGGATGAAGGTGCGGGGTTTCTGGAGCCGACTGAGGGACTGGAGAAGCCTACGGGGGTCCTCACCCTGCCAGGGCAATCCTTTGATGGTCTTGATGATTTGATCATGCAAATCGCTGAGGGGAGGGTGGGGGGGGGTGCAGTGACAGGGAGAAGACCGAGTTAGAGCAGCAGGCCCGCCACCTTGGGGTCCCCAGCACGGTCGGGACCATCCCCAGGCCACTGGAACCGAAACATGCAGCTGGGGAGTCTGCACGCCACTGTCTCTCTCCCGCCTGCACCGAGAAGGGGGTTCAGCCAAGAGTGGCCAGCCACCTCATGGAGGCTCCCCCTGCTCTGGGAGGGCCAGGCCTGTTTCAGGCCTGGTTTTGCAACCCAGCATCTCAGATCACTGAAAAAGGCCTTCTCTAGAACAGCCTTCTGGAATCTGTAACAAGCATCGAGGGCTACTGAAAAGAGACCAGAGGGTGCCTGTGGGATGCAGCTCATCAGTTTTTCTGGTTGATTCTGGGGCCACATGTCAAACTCCTTGTCGGCTTCAAGAAAGGCCTCAGGAGGAATGATGGGAACTCACACCGTGGCCCTCCACCGGGGGCGATGCTACCCTCCAGGCGATGTCTGGAGACATTCGTCGTCGTCATGACTGGGTGGGGGGTGCTGCTGGCATCTGGTGGGTTGAGACCAGGATGCTGCTCAACCCCTACAGGGCCAGGGACGGTCCCACCACAGAGGGGGAACCCGGCCCAGCGCTGAGGGTGGGGAACCCTAGTTGAAGGAGGGCTTTGCCCCAAAGAATTCAATCTCCTTCACTTCCTTTTGTTCGATCACCGCGGGTTCAGGGCTGAGCATACGTCCTAGGCCCAAACTTTGGCACCAATGCGTGAGAACAAGAATGGATGAGAGATGAAAATCAGATGCTCTGGAAGGGACTATTCATGAAGGATGTCTAGATGACAAATGTCCTTATGGGACTTCTAGAAACGAGGCAGCAGTGACTGCAGGGTGAGTCGGGAGGTTCTGGTATGTTCATTTCTTTTAAAAAATCCCTCATTCCAGTTATTTCAAGTACATGTTTAAGCTCTGGGCAGTTGGCCTGGAAAGACCCCGATCGGCAGCCCCTTGTCTGTGTTCCATGCACCATGCCCGAGGGCCTGGACAGCCACACTTACCTCTGCTCCCTCGCCCTCCAGGGAGGCACAGAGCAAAGACAACAGAGGGGTGACATTTCACCTCCATACCCTGAGCGGTCAGCGCAGCAGCCAGAGCTCCGGACAACGCCCGTGGCCTCAGCCCACGCCCCCTAACCCAGCCAGATCTGGCTAGAGTGTCCCTAGCAGGCCCCAGGGTTCCCCGGCCTGCTGACTCCCACTCCTGGCCCTGGACACCACGCTGAGCGCCTGGGGACAGCAGCTCCTCTTGATGTACCTCCCTGGTCTTGGGTTCGAAAGCCCTTGCTTCTACTTACTTCTTGCTTTCATAGAAAGCAATGATGTCCTCAAAAGCGTTAATATCGAACTCCTCAGAGCCGTCAAATGAGAAATCTAGCATTGAGCAGCTGAAAGGGAGAATCTGTATAAACTAAACACGCTCCTGGAGTGGGACCCGCAGCCTCGGGGCCAGGCCCTGGGGAGACTGGCATCCCTTTAGCAAATGTGGGTCAGGGGCTACATTCAGTCTTTGGGGGAGGGGGACAGGGAACACACAAACAAATAAAGAGATGCACTCTTTTTCTCTTGCCCCCTTTTGGGTGAAAAAGCGGATTCCAGGAAAACAACACACAGTGCTTTCAGACAAATCCCTTTGGTCACTTACCTAGGTGCTAGCTCTACCTCGATACATACATGTTTATGAATCTCTTGAAGAACTTTTTACTATGAAGGACTCAAAAATAAAATGACCTTTTCAAGTTTAAATATTGACTAACTTGCTTCTTGGGAATCTGGAGTATCAAGAAGCTGGGAACTTGGCTGCCACAGGACCTTTGCATGTGCCTCCCCGACTGCTAGCACGCCCTGCCTGCCTTGCCTGGCTCAGCTGGTCTCTTTTCAATACAGCCTGCCTGGCTCTCTCAAGATATCAGAAGTGTCCTTCCTCTGGCTTTGTCATTCCCTTGGAGGTCTGTCCAGTGTGGCCTTTTTTACCCCACCTTCCTGGGAGCGCATGCTGCTCACTGTTAGTGCAAACTGGGGTATGTGGAAGGCCCTCAGTCATTGCTAGGTGGCCACAAAATACCTCATCATCTTGTGTGCAACGAGGCATATGGGGTTTCTGATAGCAAATGAAGGAACTCAGCCTATGTGCGTTTGGGCCACCCCGGCCTGACTGAAGGAGGAAGTGCTCTTAAATCAAGCCTGTTGCTCGGTGCAACCAGTCAGCGGCTCCCTGGCCCCACTCGCCAATGGCCACGGCCGGCCATGAAAAGAATCCTTTGTAAAGTGAGCCGTCCAACATCTCCCTAATGCAGATGCTGCATCGAGGCCTGACTCTGTGTGCAGAAAAGAGGCAGCGAGATGCCGTTTGTTTCTGGGTCCTTTTGATTCAAGTGGCTGCTGGGTTCCTTATTCAGGTCAACCCCAACCTAGGTGGAGGGTGGAGGGTTTCTGGCATTGTTTTAAACAATACTGCTGTGTACCAGCTTTGGTTCGGACAAATCAAGGTCTCGCTCACCGGTACAGTTTTTCTGATGGGGTGCTGGTTCCTCTCTGCAGCTCTCCCAGGAGACCGCGGACGCCCGGGCTGTCCGTACCTGCTGCAGACATAGAGCGGATGGGAGTTGGAGGCGGGGGCTGCCTGGGGCCTGGAAGGCCTTTGTCTTGGCCACAGAGGCTTCCATCCTGACTTGAACTCATTAAAAAAAAAAAAAAAGACAAAACAGTCTGACACTCAAATTTGGGCAGAGCTGGGAACCGTGAAGGGTTTGATCCTCCCTCCCAAGCAACACTATTTATGCCTACTTCTCATAAAAGCTTTATTCTCCTGGTTCTGCTTTTAATCAAGGCCCTTTGTGAAATGGAGCTCCATGGCCGGTACCTAGAGCCAACCTTGCGGGAGTCACTCAGCCATTCTGGGCCTCAGGTTGTCCTTATGGAAAGCCAGGAACGTGCCTTTCTGCCTTGTGAGGACGAGGAGAGTGAATTATATACCCTGGTACAGAAATTCTGTTTGGGACGATCCAAGTTCTGGAGCAACACAGGTGGTGGTCACGTGACACAGTGAATGTGCTAAAGACCACAGAGCTGCACGTTTTAAAATGGACTGAGTATCCCCCTCTCGACGGCGACAGGTGGGCCCCATACCTGCAGCCTTCTCGGCCCTCTCGGCCCTCAGACGCCCAGCCTCCCGGAGCACAGCCATAGCCCGGATGGCGGCCCGGAGCACCGCCCAGCGGAACACGGCCACGGGATCCATGCCGATGAGCTCCCGCACATAGGAGCTGTCACTGCCCCGCAGGAGGGCCACGATGTCGGGCCGCATGTAGTCCATGTTCTTTTCCCGGAAGTCCTGGTGGGGGAAGGAGGTGTGTGGTCACTCGCCAGTGACTGCCAAGGTCCTGGGAGCCAGCCCGGGAAGGGCTGCTGGTGGGGTGGGACCCATCTCAACAACAGAGGTGGGTCCTGTCCCTGGGGCCTTTGACAGTAAGAGCCAAGGACTTAGGGCTGGGTCTGAGGGCCCCCAGAATCTCGCTGTGCACCATCAATAAAGGAGATGGACCGAGCAGACGCCAGAGGTAAGGAGCCTCCGGGGCATCCACCCTGTCCCTTTCCTGCCTTCCACCCTTGACTGATGATGGCAATGGACAGACACGTACCTTGATCTGGTATTTCACCTTCCCTGCGAAGTGCTGAATGATGAACGCCGGCTCCATGACGGGGGTGCCAAGGAAGTACCTGTTGTCTTCGTGCTGCTGTTTGAACTTGGCCAGCAGGGTCTGGCTCGTGGCATGGGGAAAGCTGGGAAGAGAATCTGGAACTTTTAGCTGCAGGAACAGCGGCGACCACGCGCTCTGCATCCGGGTGCAAGCCCTTGGTGGATGAGGCCCGGGCCTTCGTGGTCAAGGCAAACATCTGGCACAGGCAACACTGGGAACTGGGCCCACTTTGGGCAGCTCCCGGGAATAATCCCAGGATGCGGGGACTTCTGGTCTCAGATCTGTTGTGTATCTGGACGCTGTGTGTGGTGGGGGGGTCTTGCCCTTGTTCCTCTGTTACAGAGAGGGGCTGGGAGATGAGGACGGAGCAGGGAGGGGGGCGAGGGCAGAAGAAGAGCCCCGTTGTACCTGGCTATTTCTGCCTCCCAGGAAGGAAATGCTGCAGTTGGCTTTGGCACGCCCTGCCTCACCGCAAACATAGGCAGAGAAATGCGCCTGTGACGCCCAACGCCAGGCTCCACAGACTAACAGGGATGGGCTGGTGGAGGGGGAGAATCTGTAGCTACCAAGCACACTGTTTCCAGGGCTGGGAAAGGGTGTGGAGTGAGGAACCTGCTCACTTAGTCGTTGGGATAAATGCCATTTTAACGCGCTATTTTAGAAAATCCAGATGAATGCAAAAAAAAAAAAAAAAAATCCACGATGAACAAAAATAGCAAGATTTTAAACAAAGACAGATACAGCCCTGCTCAGCCTGGCCCTGCCTCACATTCCTCCTCTGGATCCAGCTCTGGGTTTCCTGGGAGTGATGGTTTAGCCCTTCCTAGCAGCCTGCCCGTTCTCTTATCTCAACATTCTCTACCTGGATCCCAGCTATGAATGGATGTGTCTGTCCCCTGGCTCAGGTGGGGCCTGGGTCTGAGGCAGGAGATGAGCCTGATTCAACCCAGCCCCACAGGGACTTCTGACACAGACAAAAGGCTGATAAAAAGTTGTTGATAGAAAGATGTGTCCACGTCCTGACCCTGAGAACCTATGAGAGTGACCTGATTCAGGTCTTTACGAATGTAATTAGTTAAGATGAGGTCATTGGGGAGGCATTCATCCAGTGGATTGGAATCTTTATGAGAAGAGGAGATGAGACAGAGATAGAAGAGGTGGTGATGTAACCACAGAGGCAGAGACTGGGGTGACGCAGCCACAAGCCACAGAATGCTGGGGGCCCCCAGGAGCTGGAAGAGGCGAAGAAGGACCACCCCCTAAAGCCTCTGGAGGGAGTGCAGCCCTGCCCACACCTGGATTTCAGCCCAGTGATACTGATTTTGCAAGTCTGGCCTCCAGGACCATGAGAGAATATATTTGTTGTTTAAAGCTGCCTGGGGGCACCTGGGTGGCTCAGTTGGTTAAGCGACTGCCTTCGCTCAGGTCATGATCCCGGAGTCCC